ATTTTTATATATGGTGAGAGATAGATGTCTAGTTTCATTTCCTGCATGTAGAAGTCCAGTTTTCTCAGCACCATTTATTGAAAAGATGCAAAAAAGACACATCGAGGAAAAGAACGTATGTTTTTGGCATTTTTGCCAAAAATCTGCTGGCTGCAAATACATAGGCTTATTTCTAGTTCTCTATTCTGTCACTTTGTTTTGTTTTGTTTTGTTTTGTTTTGTTTTGTTTTTAATGTATTTCTATGACAGAACCATGCTGCTTTGGTTACTGTATCTTTTTAATATATTTTGAAGTCAGTCAGTGTGATGCCTTCAGCTTTTTTTTTCTGTTTTTTCCTCAAAACTTCTTCAGCTATTTGGGGTCTTTTATGCTTCCATATACATATTAGAATTTGTTTTTTCTATTTCTGTGAAGACTGTAATTGGCATTTTGATAAAGAAGGTATGGAATCTGTAGATTGCTTTGGGTGATATGGTGATTTTAACAATATTAATTATTTGAACCCATGAGTATAGCATGTTTTTCCATCTATTTGTTTTCTCTTAAAGGTTTTCATCGGGGTTTTATAGTTTTTATTATAGAGATTTTTCATCTCCTTGGTTAAATTCAGTGCTAGATATTGTATTTATTTTTGGTTACAGTTATTGTAAATGAGATTGCTTTCTTGATTTTTTCAGCACATTTATGACTATTGTATAGAAATGCTACTGATTTTTGTATGTTGATTTTATTTCCTGCAACTTTTCTGAATTTATTAATTCTAAGAGTTTTTTGGTAGAGTCTTTATGTTATTCTGTATATAAGATCATGTCATCTTCAATTAGGGAGAATTTTACTTCCTCCTTTCCAATTTGAATACTTTCTCTTTCTTTCTCTAATTGTTCTGGCTAGGAATTCCAGTTCTATAATAAATAAGAGTGTTAAAAGTAAGCATCTTTGTATTATTTCATTTATTAGAGGAAAAGCTTTCAACTTTTCCCCATTCGATATGATGTTGGCTGTGTGTTTGTCATATGTGCCCTTTATTGTGCTGAGGTACATTCCTTCTATACCTAATTTTTAGAAATTCTGTATAATAAAGAGATGTTAATTTTTATCAATGCTTTTTTTTGCATCTGTTGAGATAATTATATTTTTGTCCTTCATTCTGTTGATGTGATGTATCACAGTTTTGTATTTGTCTATTTTGAACCATCTTTGCATCCAGGGGATAAATCCCACTTGATCATGGTATATGATGTTTTTGCTGTGCTGGTAGATTTTTGTGTCAATGTGCATCAGAGATTTTTGCCTGTACTTTTCTTGTTGTGCCCTAGTCTGGTTTGGGTATCAGGCTAACACTGGCCTCATAGAATAAGTTTGGAAGAATTCCTTCCCTTTCCATTTTATTATTTTGGAATAGTTAAGAATTGATGGTAGTTCTTCTCTCACAGGGTGGTACAGTTCACCTGTGAAGCCATTATTCCTGGTCTTTTCTTTGTTGGGAGATTTTTTATTACTGGTTCTATCATGTTACTCATTATTAGTCTGTTCAGATTCTCTGTTTCTTCACTGTTCAACCTTGGTGGTTTGTATGTGTCCAAGAATGTATTTATTTCTTCTAGGTTTTTCAGCTTGTTGGCGTATGGTGGCCTGTAACAGTCTCTAATGATCCTTTGTATTCTTGTGGTATCAGTTATAATGTCTTCTTTTTGGTTTCTGGTTTTATTTATTTGGGTGTTCTTTCTCTTTTTTTTTAGTCTAGTTAAAGGTTTGTCAATTTTGTTCCTCTTTTCAAAATATTAATTTCACTGATGTCTTATATTATTTTGTCTCCATATTTTTTATTTCTGTTCTGATCTTTATTATTTATTTTCTTCTACTAGCTTTGGGCTTGATTTGTTCTTGCTTTTCCAGCTCCTTTAGATGCATCACTTGATTTTTTATTTGAAATCTTTCCACTTTTTAAATATAGACACTTATTGCCATAAACCTCTCTCTTAGTACTCTGTTTTCTGTATCTCTTAGGTTTGGGAATATTTTGTTTCTGTTTTTATTTGCTTCAAGAAAATGTATAATTTCTTTCCTAATTTGTTTATTTGGTAACTCAGAAGCATGTTGTTTAATTTCCACATTTGTGTAATTTTTTACATTCATCTTATTGATTTCTAGTTTTATTCTATTGTGGTCAGAAAAGATACTTGATAGTATTTCAGTTTTTATAAACTTGTTGAGACTTGTTTTATGGCCAAATATGTGGTCTATCCTGGAGAATGTCCCAGGTCTATGAGAAGAATGTGTATTCTGAAGCTGTCGAATGACATGTTTTGTAACTATTAGTTAGGTCCATTTGGTCTACAGTGCTATTTAAATCCAATATTACTGTGTTGATTTACTGTCTAGATAAGCAATGTAATGCTGACAGTAGGATGTTGAAGTCCCCAACTACTATTGTATTGGGGCCTATCTTTCCCTTTAGATTTAATATTTGCTTTATATATCTGGTTGTCACAGTGTTGAGTGCAGATATATTTCTAATTGTTACATCTTCTTGCTGAGTTGATTCATTGATCATTATATAAATGTCTCTTCAAAGTTTCTGACTTAAAGTCTATTTTTCCTGATACAGACATAGCTATTCCTGCTCATTTTTGGCTAGCATTTGCATGGAATGTCTTTTTCCATTCCTTCACTTTCAGTCTATTTGTGTCTTTACAGTAAAATGAGTTTCTTGTAAACAGTACATAGCTGGTTCTTTTTTTTTCTTTTTTTAAGTAGTCTTGTTGTGTCTCTACAGTCTATAGTTAGGGTTTAATTTAGATAGTGAATTATCTGAGTGCTTTTTCTTATATACCACATTACTCATTTCTGTTTCAGCTCAGACAACAAACTTTTATTTCCTAATGACTTCTGTAATTATCTCTCATTTTAAGAATATATTCTAGTCCAACAATAATGTTTCCATTGAACAGCTGGAAAGAATTTTAAACACAGTTTATAAAGACCTTATTTTCTTAGAAAAACCAAACTTGTCATTCTCACAAATTTAAGAAAATACTTTGTCCTTAGAACCCAAAAGCAGCCTTCAGAAATAAAATGCCAAACTTTTAATACTTAAGCCTTTCTTAGAAATCAAAAATATGACAGAGAATCAATTTTTCCAATCTAATTCTCACCTGTGATTGGTACATTTAAGTAGATTTCTGAAAATGAATTAGAAAGAAATATTGAGTTAATAGTGTAACTTCTAACTTTGAGTTTTTATTTACCTTAATTATCTGGCATTTCAATATCTTTTCTCCCACGGGAGGAAAAAAAATCTAGTTCTCAATAATAACATAATTACTCATTTGCTTTATACCTTTATATATATATATATATATATATATATACATGTAACACCTTCAAAATTAAAATACCAATACTAACATCAAGAAAATCGTTACTAAAAGCAGTTTAATAATTTTTGGCAAGTTTTTCTTGTTTAATTCTTAAAGCACATCTCATTGAGATGTTTGTTAAATTACTGTGATTTAAAGCTATGTTAAACAGTTCCCTCTTGGAGTCTCTATCTCCAATTCAATACACTATTCTTCATTTTATTTTTCTGTTAATTTTTCAAAATTGTTCTTAAAATTGTTTTTAATCATTTATAATATTTTTACTTTACAAAGTAAATTTGCAAGGCAAGGTACGTTCATAGATGTCTAGTTTCTAACCTTGAGTGTTTATTCTGTTGCCTTTCACCCCCTAAGGGCAACCATTATAATTATTTCTTATTCTTAGGTTTATCCTTACATCATTTTTATACATTTTCCTTCACTTTACTTTCTTCAGCTAAAAATATATTCTGAAATAACTCTATTCTAGTGTTTATAGAGTCATAATTCCGTTTTACAACTTCATAATTCTCTAGTGGATGTAGCGGTTTTTCAACCACTCCCTTATTGATGGGCATTTAGATTGTTACAATCTTTAGAAATAAATCTCCATGAATAGTATTGTAAATATGTCACTTTGTGTTGTGCAGTGTGTCTCTGAGAGAGATTCCAAAAAGCCGAAGTGTAAATAAATACATAATTTTTGGCTTAAAATTCCCTTCATAAGAGTTGTATCATTTCGCATTACCACGAGCAATGTGGTAGAGTGTTTTATCCTATAGTCTAGCTAACAGAGTGCCTTACCAAATTTTTGAATTTTTTTGGACAATCTGTTATGTGAGAAATGGCATATCAGTATGTTTTCAGTATGATTTCACTTTTTCTGAATGATTGTTGACTTCTTTGTCAAACAGTGCTGTTTTTTTTTTAAATTAGAATACTTAAAAAGTATTTTATGAAAGGTGCAAAGAATAATTTAAGATATATATTTTTTGGTTATATATTGGAAGTTTAACACAGATTATTTTAATTTTGAATTAGAATGTTAAATTATAATGTATAGGAAAATAAAATAGACATGATTCTGAAAATAATTTCTAAAGTTAAATATTTTAATTTTATTTAAATATCGTAGAAACTATGCAAAAGAAATAATCCTCACATTCATAAACAATCATTTATTGCAATTATAAAGCTTATAATATAAACTTTGTAAAGTCTTAAAATGTCTAGAGGAAAGGAAGAAGGCTGTAAATGATCTTGTAATTGCAGAGTTTGTGCTTTCCTACAGTAGATAAATATTTGATAAAACACACAAGCCAAGTATATTATATTTCATGTTGTAGTTCAAGACCAAAACCATTTTAAAGAAAAATATCGTCCCCTAATAATACCAAAGATGTTGACTTCTCGCCCTTACTCTTGGAATATTTGAGTTTTTCCTGTGTTCCCTAAGAGTATTCCTAAATATATTTAATGCCTTATTTTGGGTGAATAGAGCATATCCTATTAATCTGCCTTCAACAAATGGTGTCCTCTTCAGCAAGAATTTTATTTTCCTTGGAAGAGAATATATTTAAAAAAGGATAATGGAAAATGATTCCTGCCAATTAATTCTTAGTTATTTTCTTTCCTTTCAGCACCTTCCCTGATAGGTGTGGTAAGGAAGGACTGGGCATCCCAAAATAGCATTGCCCTATCATGGCAAGCACCTGCTTTTTCCAATGGAGCCATTCTGGACTACGAGATCAAGTACTATGAGAAAGTAGGTCTTACTTGGAGCTTCCTATAAAACTACATATATACGCATATATATGTATATATTAAGCATGTCGTTATGCAATATTATTTTAAAACCTGTTCCTCTTTGGCCTAACCTAACCTCACACCTTCTGTTTCTTTGAATCCTCTCTAACTTACTATTCTGCTTCTAATTTCTTAATTAATTTATTTTGGTTTGTATCAGATAAAGTAGAAGATGTAAGATCTTCATTTCTGTCATGACCTACTTTATAGAGTGTTACAATATTGTAAGAAGTGGTCATTTAGTCATTTCTTCGATTTCTTCAATTTATAGTTTGGTTACTATAAGATTGCTTCTAAAATTCAGTTAAGAAGAAATTTTAATTGAATTACTATAACCTAAAGTGGGTTTTTGTAGAACATATCCTTTGTCAGTGAGTTTAAAGTTACAGTCTGCTATAATTTGGAAAGCATTATTTAAGGGATACATGGAAATAGCTTATAAATGAAATAATTTATTTACATTCAGGTTAACTATTTTATTTAATAAGCAGCCAGCAAGATAAACTCAGTTGACAAATCCTTATTTATGATCATGGAACCCTTATTTCCATTTTTGCTATATAAAATTGCTCTCGATTAGTATATTTCCCCAATTTATATACTTTATTCCCTTTATTATATTCATGTTCTTTAGGCTTTTCTCTCTCATTTCTCACCATTACGATCGTCTTGGCATCAATATTACAGCAGACCACATAGTCAATTCTGATATGTCTCATTGTGTTAGTACTACTTCTAGAAATTTGCAAAGGGAATGTTAAATAAAAATTTTCATGTAAATTATATGTAATATGCAGTGGTAGGCTACAATAAGAAAGAACATCTTGCATTTCTGTACTTTATTGAAAGCAAAGGAAATCATAAAGGAATTTAGTCTTCCTCTGAAGAAATAGAGGGTAAGAAGAGAAATAGAACTCTACTTTTTTAGTTCGTTTTGTGTGCTATAACAGCATACCACAGACTAAGTAATTTATAATAAACAGAAATTTATTGGTTTATGGTTCTGGAGACTAAGAAAACCAAGATCGAGGGTCCAGCATCTGGAGGGAAATTCTTGGTTCATCATCCCATTGTGGGAGGACAAGGCCAGAGAGAGAGAGAAATAAAAGGAAGCCAAACTCATCCTTTTACAGGGAGCTTACTTCTGCAATATGAAACCCACTCCCATGGTGACACCAACCTCACAGATGAAGCCATATCCTTCATGGCCTAATCACCTTTTAAAGGTCTGTCTCTGGCTACTGTTACAATGGTAATCAAATTTCAACATTAGCTTGGAGGGGACATTCCAACCATAACACATAGCTTCCTCTATTCCACTGCTTCAGAGTAAATCTAGTTCTGATAATGGGAGCGGTAACTTAGTAGCATAGCTGTATCCATTTTTTGTCGCTCTAATAATTTCAGCATTATGTAGTCAATAAAAACTGTCATTATCTTTAAGTGACGTAGGTAAATCCATAGCCTAAAAAAGGAAAACTTTACTGAATTTAAATTGGAATCTAGATTCTGCAAATTAGCCTGGCCAACATGTGCTCAGAAATCTGCTGGGCTAGGCTTTCAAATGTTATAGCCTATAGCACGCTGTCACAAGAAAATATATACTTTATGTTCACTGGTTTAAATATATTTTCATACACTGAAAATTTCTGACTCTTTAACAAGCAACGTGAACATATATACAAGCAACTTTTTAGAATCAAAATATTTCTCTGTGTTTTATAAGGGTTATATTTTACACACAGAAAATCACTGTCCAATTTTATAACCATTTATACCATTATATATGTTTGAGGATGAAAATAACTTGCAATATTTCTAAGTTAGGATAAATCATACAGATTCAATAGAAAGAGAACCACATTCACCCAATCAAAATTTTAGAAATCAATATAATTCTAAAAGATAGTAACTAACATAATATTTATGTTCATTCTTGTATGTATAATATTTGGCTTTATTACATAGGTTTTATTTTAGTGATGGATTAGATGATATTATGAAAAAGTTTATTTTGTAAGAAGATAGCGATAACCCACTACTGATGGATTAACCATGGAGCTGGAAGTCAAGGATTTCTAATTCATGTACTGACTCTGCGTTTCATTATGCTTATGGCCAGAAAAAGTCAATTAATCTCCCTATGCCTCAGATTTCATATAATAAAATGAAAATAAATATATCAACATTTTTGGTGGGTTGTAAAGATTACGTATAAATAGACCTAAAGATGAATAGCTCTAATTTACTAGTAAAAATCACTGAAGCTAGCATTAAGGAAATATTTAGCAAATAATACATCATAGAATCAGAAAATGATAGCATGGAATTGTGTACAAACAACATAAGCAAATTCGCAGGGTAACTGGCAAAAGAATGGGGCCAGTGATACTGTGAAGGAAGGTGCCAGTCATACTCATGACAGAGGGAAGCTCTGGATTCTAACTTATATCTCAGAGTTCATCTTGGGAAAACAAAGAATCTGGGCTTCTCTACTCTGGCTCTCGTCAGTTATTGGCTACAGCCCTTGGTGGAAGTACACATATGGTGTGCAAAAAAGATTCATAGGCCCTTCTGGTTCTCTGCAGTGGCTCCAGTGGCCCCAGTTTAGTTTCTAAAGAAGGCTACAGGTACAAGCCCTTAAACACAAAACACACAGAAACTGGCAAATGGAAACAGAAAAGGTAAAAGTGACCCAAGTTGATTTTCTGGAGCACTAACTATTAACAAAGGTAGCTAAATTCTTGAAGAACTGTTGGAGAATTAATGCTTGGCTCATTATAATATGTATATACTCTTCAGTCTTTAATATTGGTGCCATGTTGTTAAAAAAATTGCATTTCATTTTCATCAGTTATTCTATATTGCTATACACATAATTGATCCACAAAAGATCAATAGTTATACCATTCTTTGAGGAATTGATACTGTTTTATTATTTCAAATGCATTTTTCTGTAAATCAGGAAAGACGTTAACCTGCTTGAAATGTGAAGTGGCTACAAATATCCGAGGTCAAACAACATACTATTCTGACCAGTGATCTTTGCTCAGAGAGCGTCATATATTAGAAAAAAAGCTCTGGTCTGAGTACTCAAATATTTGAGTTAGGCTCAGATATTAACTTTTTTACTTCTATTTTCTCATCTGTAAAAGAAGCACCTAGAAAGATCCAGCTCTAGGCCGTCTTTTACACTTCTAGCTATTGTCAGAGGCTAATGTTTGTGTCTGTACTGTTAGATAGATAAATTATCTTATTGTTACGCCATCCAGATAACTGGCTTTTCATTGAAATATACTGAAATTGAAAACACACTCGCACGTGTGCACACACACACACACTTTTCAAATACTTCACTATAGAGAGCAGTATTGTTAACATCATAACTATACATAAAAATACCCTGACATTATCTCTTTCTCTGTCTGTGTATGTGTGTGACGTGTCCGAGTGTGTCTGTGGTCTGTGTGTCTGTGTGTTTGGGTATTCAGTGATATATGAGAAAGAAAACATATTGCTTTATGGGTTATAACTAGCTAGATATTCCTTATTCATTTAATTATATTCCCTAAGTTTTAGTCACTTTTATTTTTCATACTCAGTCTTTCATTTTCCTTTAACTCAAGTGAATACAGCTTGACTATGAAAAGGCACTTTAAAATAATATGGGGAGTCAAGATAAGTTATAAAACTTTTTTCTGTTTTTATTTATATTTAATTAACATGATAATGATTTTGTCCAATAGGCTCTCCAGTAGAGCTCATTTTTATAATGAAGGAACTAAGACATCATCTGCTCCCAACTTCTCAGTCTTCCCCTTCAAAACAATGCAAAACCTCTTCTAGTCATATTGAATAGGAATCATACCCTTTGTCTTTGTTTTGTGACGCTATAACATATCTCAGAGTGGGTAATTTATAAGAAACAGAAATTTATGTCTCACAGTTCTGAAGGCTGGGAGGATCAAGGTGTCAGTGGGTTTGCTGTCCGGTGAGGTCCCTCTTCACTTCCAGTATGGCTCCTTGAATGTCATATCCTCCGCAGGGGAGAAATGCTATTCCTCACCCAGCAGAAGAGCAGGAAAGCAAAGAGAGGGGAAGGGGAGGGCCACACTTGCCTTTTCATAAAGCACTAATCCCACCCAAGACAGCATAGCCTTTATGGCCTCATGATCTCTTAAGGGTCCCACCTACTAATACTGTTACCATGGCAATTAAGTTTCAAAATGAGTTTTGGAGGGGACATTCAAACCATAGCACCCTTTTTTTTTTAATTTAACACATATAATTTTATTTATTTAGGACCAAACACCTCTATGGATTAAGATATTTTATCAGTCTTACTATTATTATGTTGCTATTACACTTCTACTTTACAAATTGAGGACCTGGGGGCTCAGGGTGTTAACGGACTTGCTGCTGGGTAGCAGAGCCCTAGAACCCAGTCCTATTTCCATTCTACTGTCTTGCCACTCCCTTACAATATAATAATAATATAATTGGGAGTCATAATGTGACCTGCTGTCTTCAGGGCACACAGAAGCATCTTTATTAGCTTTAAAAGCAAAGTACTACCTTCAAAACCACTCTTGTAAGAGGTCACCAACAACAGCACCACTGGTCGGAAATGTCCCTTTGGCTCAGCCTTAGAAGTCCCAACCCAGCCCGAGGCCACATCAAGGTTCCTGCCTATGGAAATGAGGTTAGTGGCAAGTCTTGAAGTCACGTCACATGGCATGTGCCCTATGTCACAAAAGCAATATTTACATCATCCTCGAGGCAGAGGCATTTTATAAAAGTAGCACATCAAGTCATGACTGTCAAAAAGTTAAAAACATAATTTTAAAAAGGCAATTCTCCTGCCTCAGCCTCCCAAAGTGCTGGGATTAGAGGCATGAGCCACCGTACCTGGTACTGATGATTTTATTGTCTCCATAGTTTTGTCTTTTCCAGAACATT